CTTCGAAAAAGATAGTTAACTAATTAAGAAAAAGCAACAAATTCACCTGCAAGATGACAGTGAAGTACACCACAATGAGTGTAGTGCAGACCATCAGGTTTTTCTCTTTTATCTTATTCTCATCCAGCATCACAGCCAGGCCATATGCAACAGCTCCTCGTAGGCCACCGTAGCTCATGATCACCTGATCTACAAACTCCAAGGGCACCAGCCTGTACCTGTTGAGGATCCAGGTGAGGAAAAACACACCTGCAGTACGAACACAAACACACTTACAAACACACAGTCTTATATAAGGGCTCACAAAATATCTTCAAATGAATCTTCATGAGTTTTGAATGCATTTTAGGAAAATCATACATTCTCGTGTTTCAGTCTATCATGGGCCGGCAGCAGTAGAAAAATTTATTTGGACACAAAACTGAGCCCAAAAAGACAAAATCTCACCAATGAATCTATACACAAAGACGAAGAGGAGCGTGAGTAGGATGAAGCCCGTGTTCCAAACCCAGATAACCTTATCGATGGCCGAGATGCCGAGGAAAACAAAGATGATGGTTTCTGATCCGTTGGCGAAGACCTTCATGGCGTATCTGACTGTTTGGACCGAATTCTCATCCATGTTTGCGTTGATGTACTTCTGACAGCACATTCCACAGAAGACAATCCTACAGAAAGGAAACACAAAAGTAGACTTTCATCTAAATATGCTTACAAAATATGCAAAATAGATGCAGAAATAATAAAACAAATTCAGTTGTAAAGCACTCACGAAAGGATAGCAGACAGCGAAAGCATCTCGGCAGTCAGGTAGGAAAGATATCCCAAAACAAAGATGAAGCCTGGCTCGATGATCTGGATGTTTTTTGTGCATCTGGTCAGAAGTGAAATTAGTAGGCCAAAAACAAGGCCCACAAGTGAACCGCCAAATGCAACCACAAAAAAGGAAACTGTAGAGAAAGGGGGAAATGTGTAAAAATCTACTTTTAGGCTTTGTTTTGTTTTGCATCTCTTTACATGCCACTACTCCCTACTGTCCTAACTGTCTGCTGCTAAAAAAAAAAAAAGGAGTAAATAAAGGCATCTCCAAAAGTTGATTCTCTTCATCTGGACGTAGCGTTTTCAGTGGGAGAAACGTTTCATCACTCATCCAAGTGACTTCTTCAGTCTGAGCTGACTGCAGGTTTCCCCAGTCTTATAAACAGTACATTTGCATAACGACTGAAACTAGCACCACTGAAGGAACTGGGAGGTCAGTTCCCAGCCAATGCCAATAAAAGCATCGTGGTAGCTTGAAATGGTCAATGCATTTTGATGAAAAAGCTCATAATACTGAACAAAATAATGCTGTAAAAAGAAACAAAAAAACTATTTCTGCTTAGCCAGACGTGACTGTAAGTGTTTATAGCCCATACACAGGCAAATCCTCTATTATGAGTTTAATAAATGTCATATCTTACCTATTCCTTTGACAATTTCTGCAGCATCAATTTTAGGTCCTCCCAGTGACACAAATGCATCAAACACATTGAAGAGCACCTAAGAGATGAAGAAGAAAAAATAATGTTTGGTCATTTAGCAGTAAAGAAGGACCCATGACAAAGGGTGCAATTCCCCTGTAATTAAATGGGATTTTGACGTATTTTATTTGAAATTGCAAGGTAATTATATTTACCTACAAGTACTACACACAGGAGTAAGGGGGTAACAGGTTTTTGTTTTGCAAAAACAAACAGTATTACATTGTAGCTACACTGTCCTTTTGGGGGTATGGGCAGTTTTACAGAATTGATTGATACTGCCTCTTTACGACTTTATTTAATCGTCGTTGTGTTAATGTGCATTAATGGAAGCCCTGTGGATGTGATAAGTACTGTTCCAGCGTACCAAGTTACAAAAAATAAATAAATACCACCAAATGTGTAGGCCTATGTGACCTTATAATGATGGAGCCACGTCTAACTTAATTTTTTTTCTGTCACAGTCACAACAAGTGTATTG